TTAGATCTTATCTAGACTACTTAGGGTGGCTAGCAATCACACCCTTAATCCTAGTGCCCTTGAGCCTAGCACTGCACCATGAATCAATTCCAGCCTCACACACTCTAGATTCAGCCACCTCTGAAAAAGCCTCACCTATGACCACAAGAGGCTTTGGAGGGGACATCTAGACACAAGCCATAATAGAGGGTATCTGTCAAACCTCTCCACACGACCTCTCTCTCTCCACAACTGGCAAGATTTCCTATACAACAGGAAATAAGTCCTCCCTTCTGCAGTCACAGAAGGCAATAATCTAAATTCATGTATTAAATTATTCACTTTGAATAAATTGTAATAGATTTCAGACAGGAAAAACTGAGCATTTAATTTATACAGACTTCAAGTAAAGTATATGCATTATTATTTTTCAGACCCCTATCATATGGGGCAGGCATAACTAATTCTCCCATTTTACAGATGAAAATGGGAATTTTCCTGAGTTTAGAATTGCTAAGTAACTCTCTCTAGGTGACATGACCAGTGGAGTAGAGTTTGAAGCCAGGCAGCATGTGCTCTTGGGTAAGGCCAGGGGATCCTGAAAAGTTGTTTGGAAGCCACACCCCATCCCCAACCTCAGATGTTAACATGCTGAGAAGGGGCAGCACCAGGGCACAGGAGCCCACCCAGATGGCTTTCTCTCTCCACCACCTACACTTGCAACTGTGTCTGTGTGAACACCGGTAACTCCAACCCTGGGAAATAGTTTCCACAGACTGGTATTTGAATGTCATTCAGATTCACAGCCACGGAGGTTACTGTTTGTAAGGTAGGCTGAGTTTTCTGAGAAAGGACCCTTTGTCCCTCACAGGTGTCCTAGGAGGCATTTTCCTGCCCCCAAAGAACAGGAAGTGATGAGGATGATGTGTGCGCTATGGTTTGAGGTTTGTGACCCCCAAAATTCAGTCACGACAATGCTAATCCTCAAGCTCATAATACTAGCTAGAAGTGGGGCCTTTGGAAGCAGAGTGTTTATGAACGAGATCAATGCCCTTATAAAAGAGGCCCCCAAGACACCCCTGACCCCTTTCACAGTAGGTATCATCTCTCTGAAGCAGGAAACAGGTCCACATCAGACATTGAATTTGCTGGCACCTCAATCTTAAAACTGTAAGAAATAAATGTCTGTTGTTTATAAGCCATCCACTCTGTGGTATGGCTTACAGCAGCCCAAAAGCACTAAGACAGTAGCTCTTCAATATACAGTACCTATCATTTAAATATCCTGAGTCTGGAGAAGTAGCAAACCTGAATTTTGGAATCAGATATACCCTGTCTGTACCTTAATGGTACCCCCTCTCAGACACTGAGGACTTGTGCAATTTATGAAAAACCTGTGAGCCTCAACTGGCTCATTTGTATCCTGAGCTCACCTCATAGGCTGGTTGTAAAGATCATCATGTGTCCAGTAGCTGCCCTGCCCCTGACAGCACAGAGAAGCCCACTGAAGTTCGTTCATTTCTCCCCTTTCCACAACCCAACCTCACAAGCTTCACTTTGGACAAGATCCAACCACCTTTCATCCTCAGTCTTGCACCCAGCCCTACTTCTCCATCATTCATTCATGTATCCACTGAGCAAATCCGCAAATCCTTTCTGAACAACTACTATGTGCCAGGCACATCTGAGAATACTGTATCTGTGGTCCCTGAGTTTGTGAAACTGAGCCTGGCATCGCAGAGAGGATAAAACAGACCTGTTTACCCGCCTGCTTAGAGAGCTGTAAAAACAAAACCCATTGTCTCTCAGCAGCCGTCTGAAACAATTACTCTCAATTCTCAGCCCTAATGTGCTTCCACACTGTGAAAAAGAACTTTTTAAAGGTGGACAGGAGACATAAATTAGTATAATAATGCAATTAAAATGCATTTTTCCTTCCACTTATTTAAATTACTCTTTTTTACATCTTGAGGAAATGCATCCTTCCTTGGAGGTATTTAAGGAGATGCAAAGAGTCTGTGGAAATGAGGCAAGAAATGGACTCAAACAGAAAACACAACACTGCCGGGTAGAGCTTGAACAGCCATCCTCCCCTGGATGATAACTGCCCAAGTCAACATAAGATTCTGCACTTTGGGGCTTCACAAAAGCTTCAGAATAGAATTCCCGAGGACAGGTCGCTGGTGCTCTCTGTGAACGCAAGTTCGCCAGCAATGTTTTCTACACGGGACTGGCACTAGGAATCTCCAGGTCTGACACCAGAAAGACTGAGACGGGTAGGACACAGTTCACACCCCCAAGGGGACTGTAGCAGAGGGTAGAAAAGCAAAAAAGAGTAGGCCCCAGGCCACTAGTGCTGTGACGGGCAGACTTGGAAGAAGGGGCCCCGCCCAGCCTGGGGAACAAAGTGGGCTCCTTGAAAGTGACCTTGTGCTGAGTTTCCAAGGATAACAAGAAGTTAACCAGATGGGGGAGGCCAGAAGGGCTTCTCCAGGCAGAGGACAGGCTCATAGGAACAAAGGCCTGGACCCATGAAGGAACATGGGAGAAAGAGAGAGAGAGAGAGACAGAGAGAGAGACAGAGAGAGAGAGAGAGAGAGAGAGGGGCATTACACTCTGAGAAAAGTAAGCAGGAAGTAAGCCATGAAGACTGGGTCTGAGGAGCTTTGCAAAACAAGGTAAACCCCTAGATAGCAGAGGTGGAAGACCCAGTAGCCCCGAAATCACAAGATGAAGCCAGACACCCAAAATGCCCAGGATGAGGGGCAGCAAATCACATTCTCTCAAAAGGGATCTGTGCCCTGTTACTGGTTTTGTGTTGCCACCTGCTGGCAAGACTTCTTACAGCCAGTTTAACAACAATGTTCAAAGAGAACTGCTTTAAAAAAGAAAAAAATAGAGTAACAAGCACAGGGAACTTCCCTGAAGTTACAAAAGATCAAACAAGAAGAGCACTTACTATAGAAATGTTATTAAAGTTTCATTCAAAAACTACAGAAATCATCATGGGAGCGCCATGGGTTCAAATGCCACCTCTACTGCTGATTACGAGGAAATCTCGCTTCTCTGCCCTTTCGTATTAAAATCAAGTGTGATACAACCGCAACCCATGGGTATTGATTCAAATAAACTACATTATGTGTAAAAAATCTGCTCTATGTGGTAGAAATTCAACAGGTATTGAGGTTAGGTCAGGTGGAAAACCAGCCTTGCACATGACTTGTGACCTTCTCCACCTTCCCCACCTCCTCCACCTCTCCATCCCCCATTGCCTGTGCTGGAAAGCTTTGCTTCCTCCCTAAGGTCCAAGAATTCAGGGAATGCACACAGCTGCACAACTACACCCCTGGCCCAGACCACTCGCTGCTCTCTTCACTTGCTTATTCACCTAAAGAACTAGGCCATCCCCTCTCTCTGTCCCACAGCCTCTACCCTCAGTCTGGCTGCATCAGGGGCAAAGGTTTCCCTACCACCCTCCTTTTCACATAGTCTATGAAGAATGCTGATGCCTGACTAGCTAATAATTCCAGGAAAACAGGCTGGAAGCAGCAAAAAAGACAGAGGACTGACGAGCTGAAGAAATCCTCCACATCTTATCCTCTAATGTGGTAACAGGAGACTCTGCATCCAATTTCCTCCCCTGGGAGAGGACAAGATATGCTTCATATGACAAGTCATGGGAAGTAACCGGCAGAAGACTTTCCAATTTAGAAGTTATTACAATCTTATTGTGGAGCATTTAAATCTTAGAGTGGGGAAGATGGAAAATATATAACCATTCTGATCTCTTCCACCTAAGCCTTGATTTCATATTTTAAGTCATCTTACAGATTTGGTAGTAGGCCACAAGACAGGTAAGATTTTCCATTGATGAGGCACGAGTCTAATGTTTAGGACGTTGCCAAGTAGGCACATAGAGATCCACAGCCCAGAAGAAAGGACTCTGGAGTTTCTGGGGGAAGAAGAGAGGGTTCCAAAGGGAAAAGTAGAATGAGATGCTCTTATTAGTCAGTCAAGACCCCTTCACCAAACACTCAAGTTAAAATCTCAATAACAATACAACTAGCATCTACTGTGCCTAACCTGTAATTGGTTCCTGTTCCTAAGCACTTGATATTTATCAATAATCCTATAAAGTAGATACTATTGCTCCCATTTTGCAGATAAGAAATGGCCTGGAGAGGCTAAATGGCTGGTCATCCTGCCTAGTTCGCTGTGGAGCCAGGGTTTCAACCCTACCCAGATCCAGAGCCTCTGTACTATCTGCCTGCCTCACTCCATCACAGAATCCTGCCCATTCTCTCTTCCAAATGCCCCCTGAGAAGGCATTTTTCCTGTCCCTCTTCTGAGTTCTGGAGCCTATCCTGTCACAGTTGTATTTCAGCCTCCTCACTGATGGTCCTGCTTCTCACACACCACCATAGTTTCTGCCACCACAGACTCAAGGCCAGCTATCTATGGGATCTTCCAGGGATGGCAGAAATGTCCTAGATCCATATGGTCTGGTACACTAGCCACTTGTAGCTCCTGCCCCTTTGAGGGGTGGTTACTGTAACTAACTAACTGGATTCTTAAATACTACTCATTTTAATTAGTTGAAGTTGACACAGATTCATGTGGCAAGTGCCTAGCATGTCAGATAGTATGGTACTTAGCAGTCCCTATGCCCCCTGGGTAGAGTGGAAATGAGTAGAGTGGCAATTTAAGCCTGGTACACCACCAGGACCCAAAAATATCAGTTTATACTCTTTCTCGGCCTAGAAAGTTTGGAAAGCTTCAGGGCACATGAATCAGACCATCATTTTTTATAAGAATATCTGCCCTTGGTTGAGCATCTCCAGTACTCTCACCTTTGAATTAGGCACTCAATATACATTTCATCCAAATCTCACAACATCCCTGCAAAGGAGACATTATCATCCCCACTCATTCACACCATCATCAAACATAATGAGCAACTGGAGATACCATGTCAGACAACCAGGCTGTTAGACTAACAAAACAGAACCCACTGAGTTTACCTTTTACATAGAGAGGGTCCAAAGCTCGATAAAGTAATTCACTTCCTGTCACACAGAAGAAACTGGGCCCCAGGCTGCTGGTTCCACCTCTTCTTGGATCCTCTTATTCCCAAGGTAGCAAATCAAATCAAGGTTAAAAGCTTCTCCCTGTGAAGAAAAGTTGACCTAAGAAAAAAATATTTGAGGCACTTTCTTGTGACTGGGACTCAATACCCAATAAGCACATCTTTTTTTTTTCTTCTATTGAGTTTACTGGTACATTTTAGGTGTATAGTACAGTTACATTCATCATTCAGATCTTGTTTCTTTACATGACAGGTGATCTTGGTTCTCATGTTTTCCCCTTGTCCCGGCCCTCCCTTCACCCTCTCCTCCCCTACCCATTTACACTTTATTTCCATTTTTTCATTTTCTCATATTTTTTTCTTTTCCCTTATTCCCTTTCCCCTACCCTTCACACTTTCCCTACACCTTTAGCCCATTTCTTCACATTTCACAATGTCAGTTATCTCATTAGGATCTTATGTACTATTACACTTTATTCACACCAGAGAAACTATTCGATATTTACACTTATGTGACTTATTTATTTCACTTAGGAGTATATCCTCAAAATTTATCCATTTTCCTATGAATGAATCTAATTTCTCATTCTTTATGGCCGAGTAGTACTCCATTTTATAGAAAAGCCACATCTTCTTTATCCAATCTCCAACTGATGGACAAATGGGCTGTTTCCAAGTTTTAGCTATTACAAACTGTGCTGCTATAAACATGGGTGTGAATATAACACTCTGGTATGATTCTTTTAATTCTTTTGGAAAGATACCCAGAAGAGGGATGGCTGGGTCAAATGAAACCTGTAGTCCCAGTTCTTTGAGGTAGCTCCATATTGATTTCCATAATAGTTGCATCAGTCTGCACTCCCACAAACAATAGACAAGGGTTCCTTTCTCCCCACAACCCCGCCAACATTTGTTATTTGTTGATTTCTTGATAGCAGCCATTCTTTGTGGGGTGAGGTGGAATCTCAGTGTTGTTTTTATCTGCATCTCTCAAATGACCAGTGATGTGGAACATTTTTTCATATATTTACTTGCTACTTTTACTTCTTTGACTGAGAAATGTCTGCTCATTTCAGATGCCCATTTTTGAATCAGGTCTTTGTATTTGGGGGGCTGATTGTTTTGAGTCCTTTATATATTCTAGATAATAGTCCTTTGTCTGAGGAGCAGTTGGTAAAAATTTTTTCTCACATTGTAGGTTGTCTCTTAGTTCTGTTGATGGTTTCTTTTGCAGTGTGAAAGCTTTTTAATAAGATGAGATCCCAGTTGTTGATTCTTTCTGCTAGTTCCCATGCTACAGAGGATTTGTTCATCAAGTCTTTTCCTACGCCAATGTCTTCAAGAGTTCTGCCTAACTTATCTTCCAGCTAGTTTAGTGTTTCTGTTTTAATATTGAGATCTTTAATCCACTTGGATTTTAATTTAGTGCATGGTAAAAGATAAGGGTCTAGTTTTAATCCTTGGCAGGTTGAGATCCAGTTTTTCCAACACCATTTATTAAAGAGGCCATCTTTCCTCCAGTGGGGATGGTCAGCTCCTTTGTCAAATTTGAGGTAGCTGAGTACATCTGGAGTTGATTTTGTGTCTTCTAATCCATTCCACTGATCCTCAAGTCTGTTTCTTTACCAGTACCATGCTGTTTTTATCACAGTGGCTTTGTAGTATAGTTTCAAATTGGGGATTGTTATACCTGCTGCCATGTCTCTGTTGCCTAGGATCGCTTTTACTATTCTAGGTCTCTTATGGTTCCAAATGAATTTTTGGATTCTTTTTTCTAGTTCTGTGAAATATACTGTTGGAATTTGTATTGGCATTGCATTGAATCTGTATAGCAGTTTTGGTAGTATGGCCAATTTCACTATGTTGATTCTTCCTACCCAAGAGCAGGGGATATCTTTCCATTTTGTTATATCCTCTTTGATCTCTTTTTTCAGAGTGCTGCAGTTTTCAGTGTAGAGGCCTTTGGTTTCTTTCATTAGATTGATTCCTAGATACTTCATATTTTTGGATGCTTTTGTGAAAGGAATTGTTTCCCTAATTTCTCTCTCAGTGAGTCTGTTATTTCTGTACAAGAAGGCTATTGATTTTTGGGTGTTGATCTTGTATCCAGCTACTCTGCTGAAAGTGTCAATTAAGTCTAGAAGTCTTTTGGTAGACTTTTTTGGGGTCTTCAATGTAGAGTGTCATATAGTCAGCAAATAATGACAGTTGAACTTCTTCCTTTCCTATCGTTATTGCTTTAATTTCTTTCTCCTGTCTAATTGCTAAGGCTAATGTTTCCAGAACTATATAAAAGAGGACTGGTGATAGTGGGCATCCTTGTCTTGTTCCTGATTTTAGTCTGAAGGTTTTCAGTTTTTGGCCATTTAATATGATGTTAGCTGTTGGTTTTTCATAGATAGCCTTTATTAAGTTGAGATATAGACCATCTATTCCAATGTTTTGCAGGGTTTTTATCATGAATGGGTGTTGAATTTTGTCAAATGCTTTTTCTGCATGTATTGAGAGGATCATGTGGTTCTAGTCCTTGACTTTGTTAATATAGTGTATTATATTTATTGACTTACATATGCTGAACCATCCTTGCATCCCTGGAATAAATCCGACTTGATCAGGATGTATGATCTTCTTGATGATCCTCTGTATTCTTTTTGCTAGGATCTTATTAAGGATTTTTGCATCTATATTCATTAAGGAGGTTGGCCTGTAGTTCTCTTTTTTAGTTGTGTATTTCCCTGGTTTGGGAATCAAAGTGATACTTGCTTCCAGGAATGAATTTGGAAGTATTGCTTCCCTTTCAATTTCACTGAAAAGTTTGAAAAGCAATGGCAGTAGTTCTTCTCTAAATGTCTTCTAAAATTCAGCAGTGAATCCATCAGGACCTGGGCTTTTCTTTGTTGGTAAATTTTTAATTACATTTTCAATTTCATTGATTGTAATTCGGGTGTTTAAAATGTTATCTTCTTTGTTCAACTTTGGTAATTCATAAGTACCTAAAAATCTGTCCATTTCTTCTGTGTTTTCCATTTTGTTAGAGTACAGGTTCTCAAAGTAGGTACTGACAATCCTCTGGATTTCTGTTGGATCTCTTGTGACTTCACCTTTTTCATACCTGATTGCATGGATCTGAGCCTTTTCTTTCCTTTTTTCAACAAGGTTAGCTAAGGGTTTATCAATTTTATTTATTCTTTCAAAAAACCAACTCTTCAATTCATTTATTTTTTGTATATTTTCTTAGTTTCCATTGCATTGATTTCTGCTCTAATCTTTATAATTTCCTCTCTTGTTCGAGCTTTGGGTTTTTCTTGCTCTTGTTTTTCTAGAAGTCTAAGATTCATTATTAGGTTGTTTATTTGAGCTCACTCTGTTTTCCTAGTGTGGGCATTCAGTGCTATGAATTTTCCCCATAGAACTGCTTTCATTGTATCCCATAGATTCCTGTATGTTGTATTGGCCTTTTCATTTATTTGTAAAAACTGTCTGATTTCTTCTTTAATTTCCTCTGTGATCCATCAATTGTTCAGGAGAGTGTTGTTCAATTTCCATGTGTTTGTGAAGTTCCTATGGTTTCTTGTGGTATTGATCTCCAGCTTGATTGCACTATGATCTGATAATATACAGGGATAACTTCAATTCTTTTGTATTTATTCATACCTGTTCTGTGAGCTATTATGTGATCTATCTTGGAGAATGACCCATGTGCAGCTGAAAAGAATGTACATTCTGATTTTGTTGGGTGGAACACTCTATAGACATCTATTAAGTCCACGCATTCAAAAGCTTGGTTCAGTTCTAGTATTTCATTGTTCAGTTTTTGCCTAGATGATCTGTCTATTTGTGAAAGTGGGGTATTTAGATCCCCCACTACAATTGTATTAGTGCTTATTTGGTTTTTCATGTTTCTTAATATTTATTTTATATAGTTGGGGGCATTAATATTTGTTTCATATATGTTTATGATTGTCATCTCTTCTTCTTGAATTGTTCCCTTTACAAGAATGTAGTAGCCTTCTTTGTCTCTCTTAATCAGTTTTGGTTTGAAATTTCCTTTATCTGCGAAAAAGATTGTCACCCCTGCTTTTTTCTAGGCTCCTGTCTCATGGAGAATTGTATTCCATCCTTTCACTTCCAGTCTATTGGCTTCTTTTTGCACTAGGTGTGTTTCTTGTATACAACATATTGTTGGATTTTTCTACTTAATCCATTTTGCCAGTCTATTTCTCTTGATTGGTGAATTGAGGCCAATGACATTGATGGTTATAACTGATATGTACTGACTTATTATTGTCATGTTATTGTCCTTTTGTTGACTCTTTTTACTTTTTCCCCCCTCTCCTTTTAGTTTCTTACCTTACCTATTTAATTTGGTCTGTTGGGCCTCATGCTGTTGTGACCTTCATTATCTTTTTCTAGGATATTGTTTAGAATTCCTTGTAGTGCTGGTTTGGTGTTCATGAAGTTTCTCAGGTGTTCTTTGTCATGGAAGTATCTTATTTCCCCATCCATTTTGAAAGAGAGTTTTGCAGGATACATCAGTTTAGGTTGGAGGTTGTTTTCTTTTAGAACTTGAAATACCTCACTCCAGGCTCTCCTTGACCTGAGGGTTTGCGTTGAAAAGTCTGCGGTGATTCTCATGGGCATTCCTCTGCATGTGATTTGTTTCTTTTCTCTTACAGCTTGTAGTATTTTGTTCTTCTGCTGGGTTTCTGGGATCTTGATTATTATATGTCTAGGTGTAGATTTTGATCATGTCTACTTGGAGTCCTATATGCCTCACTTATCTGTATGTCTCATTCTTCCCCTCGTTTGGGAAGTTTTCTGTCATTGATTCTGTGAACAGCTTTTTTAAGTCATTTGCATTTTCTCCTGCTACTTCATAGATTCCTGTCAGTCTTATGTTGTTCTTCTTTGGATCATCTAGGAGTTTTTGGATTGATTTACCATGATTCCTTACTGTTTGTAAGCGACCTCTCCTTTCATGGTCACTGACTGCAATCCTATCTTCTATAGTTGAGATTCTATCTTCACATTCTTTTATTCTGTTGCAAACACTTTCAATGAAATTTGTAGTCTCCTGGATAT